CCATTAAGCCCATCAAAAATCGCTTACGAAAATTAATGGTTAAAAATCAAATATAAAATTCGAGTTGGCAAAAATATTCATGAAACACCGTCTCAGGTCCAGCTGTGTAGTGTATACTGTATCTCATCTCACAGACAGTATTAATAAAATAAATTCCATCGTTCAGTAATCAATATAAAACATTACCGTTTCGGTTTGCCATTGAAATTTAATGAATAAAGTATTGTTGGTCTGTGTTGTTGTGCGTAATTTGAATAGAATGCACAAAATCTTGCATTCCTATATGTATATGATATAGTTGAGGTTGGGCATTTAACAGCCATTTCCCGATTTTCCATCTCAGGTTCTAAAATACTTGTCTTTATAATTGAAATGAAAGCAGTAAACGCAAGATAAATCAGACAAAACTACAGTACTTGTAAATCAAAACGCGCGCAAGTTTTCTTAACTGAGACTGCAATGGCAATGAGAATAGCCTCAGCATAATGGCGGTCGTATTATAAATACGACAATCGCAGACAACAATCACTATAATTCTCGCAGTATTATAATAACTCACCTTATTCTTTTCGACGTTTATCACATCTTTGAAGTTACAGGCGAACTAATTCTAAAGCATTGACGCTGTGAACCACACGTTTTGAATTGCATTGGCGGCCAGACCTTTGTCATTCAAATACAAACAGCAACCTTGCTCGCTTCTTCCTCACACTGTTTTAAAGCCATCTTTATGCTTGAAATATGAATATACTAAAGCCATTTTAATCAGCTTGTATCGCTTCCATCGCACTGACACTTAGAACCAATCCTAATAGAACCCTCGCACCACAATAGCAGATATATTCCCATACAAACGACCCCAAACTATATAAATGCCAGTATTGATGTGAGAAGAAGGTATTAGATTTCACGGCGGCGCTATCCTCATTGGTTGAAAGCTCGATCATGCGGCGCGCGAAATTCAAATATTTCGGCTTCATTGTGTGTTATCTTCATATTGTGTTGCTACTGCTGCAAATTTTATCGTGTTATAATGTTTGAAATGCGATATTTTGAGGTCCAATTTTGCCAGTTTCCAATCTGTATGATGAAATGCATAAACAGACATGCCACATGACATGGGAACTATTTCTGTTAATTTATTATTTATATGTCTAAAAGTATTAACTTCTGAATTCAAATGTTTCATTTGTGAAATGGTTTATAATTTGCCAGTAAATTAATATGCGGCTGTTTCATGCTAACAGTAAATAATATTCGGATAAATATTAATTAATTTGTCGATTTGCCAATTAATTAATTTGGCGAAATACCTGTAATCGGCCAGCCCTAGCCTGTGACGGTAGATCAGGCTCAAAACGTGTGTTTATAGACCGTGTTATACTGTAAAAGTGTTTTAGTTTAAGAATATATGTTATTCTAACTGCACAAACTGTTTTAACACCACCAAAAAGGTGCTATTTTAACACCCGTGCTCAGTGCTAATTTAACACCACCAAAAAGGTGCTATTTTAACACTCGTGCTGGTGCTAATTTAACACCACCAAAAAGGTGTTATTTTAACACCCATGTTCTCACTCCACAAACAGTGCTAATTTAACACTGGGGAATACAAATTCTTAACACCACTTATGGTGTTATTTTAACACCAAGAATTTAGCACCAGAAACCGGTGTTATTTTAACACCACCTGTCCTTAAGTGGGTGTTATTTTAACACCTCTAAAGTGGTGTTAAACAATTTGAGTGTTAAATTAGCACTTTGCAAAATATTTTTATTTATGTCGTGTTAAATTTGCACCAAAAAAGGGTGCTAAAATAACACCTTTGTTTAACACCACCAGTTGGTGTTAATCTAACACCACCCGAGGTGTTATTTTAACACCCTGAAAATAACAGTGTTTCGAAGTGTAGTTATTTAAAAAAAGGCAACCTGGTGCAACCGGGGGAAACTCCCCCGCTGCCTCCGTGGCTCTGCATGAAGCCTGAATGCTTTCACCTGTATTATTTTCACCCCACACATCACATTAAAATATCGTGCTTGACGTTCAGACGGCGGAGCTTCACACAAGTAGTGATGTTTAAATTTCATACAGTTATCCATGTGCATCGCTGTCTTTGTATTTTTGCCTTTGTCGGCCTATAAGATGACCTTTTGACCGTTTAGCAGGATATATTTCTTTATAGATTTTCAAAACCAATTTGTCAAATAAAGATTAGATTAGGGTTATACTAAGATTAGGGTTAGAGGTTAGGGCTCAACATGTGTCGCGAATTAATTGTATTGATAAATTCGGACGTGTTTAACAATTTTATTTCAAAGGTGGAGCTCATGCTGTTAAATCCACAAGGCCGGTTTCCATGTCAATTTAATTTTCGCTTTTCTAGTAAAATTCTTGAATTTTCCTCAAACCTTGGGGTTATTTATATATGGGTCTGTTAGGCAAATGTTATGGATAAGTTGGGCAAAACTTGCAGGCAGTAGCCGCTCATAAATATTCCATTCTGTGGCCATCGCGATCGATGACTGTTGGAAATCCACTATCCACCAAAAATGAGTGCCAGAACCTATAGTTGCCTAGGCACATGCAGGTGCCCTGCTACTAATACGCTACTGCATGCGGCTGCTTTACTAGCGATGTTTGCAGCAAGGCCTTTTTTAAAAATATGGAAGTTAATTTAGTCTTTTCCAGATAATTCAGACAAAGTATGAAACCAAAGCAGTTTGAAATAGGTATATTTATAAAATAATATGTTGTTGTCATCAACACATTCAAACGAGAGCAGGTGTATGTCCATTGATAACTAATCATTAAATCTTACATTCATGATTGTTTTTATTTTGAAAAGGAACAAAGAAACGGTATTATAAATCTGGCTTATGAAAACTTGCATATTTATAAAATATAAATACAGTGAAATAAATAAATAACAAAAAATAAAATGCAGTGACTTCAACTCGGTTATAAATGTCTGATGCTGTGCCCAGTCGCCCACATAACTTGTGAGATGAGTAAATACTTTTGCAGCCAAAATTTGCTTCAGTAAATAAAAACTCTTAAAGTGAAACATTGCAGACATAATTATCAGGGCCGTAGGAAGCTCTTTTCGATTGGGGGGGCTGAAAGCGAGGGAAATTTTTAAATTTAGAGTCTCTAAAATGCCATTTCCTGGACTTTGGGGGAAGATTTAACAGAATTCTGATAGTCAGAGAACAGCGTTTTAGTATGTCGAAATTTACAGGAAAGTATGGGCCAGACTGTAGTATTATAAATGCGCGGCGGGAATTTTCGTC